TATATATATATATATACACACACACACACATATTATAGACGTAATTATCTTTCACGATCAAGCAGGTCGATATGTTTATCAGGTTAAAACATAATATTCAAAAAACACAGATGGGTTTTGAACGATAATTATCAATGGATTACATTTTATATCCTTTATATGTGGGATCTGTGATGTAAGCGTTTTGACTGCTTATGTACATAGCGTATTAAAAAAATCTTTACAATGTCTAAACATTGCCCAAGGGTCGGCATTATTACTTTGTTCATTTATTTTCTCGTTTCCAATTCGTTGGAAAGCTCTTACATTGTTCTACACCTTGAGAGGGTTTTTTTTTCAGAAAAGAGATAAAAACTGTTTGTTTTCTTAAACAACTGCCACTGCATTATGTATATATTTTAACTTTCTTTCAGCATTTCGAATTTGAATTTTAGTAAAATATTTCTTGAGGACATGCAACCTTTACCTATTCCTTAAAATTCAAAATTTGGGGCTCAGTGCATCTGAACAGGGGTAGACCCAGACAAACGTATTTGGAGAAACCTGAACAAATGGATGACTGAGACACACTAGCATAACATAGAATATTTGAGAGCATCCGTGCAGTAAAATGAAATGAGAACCAAGGTTGCCGATGTCTATTTCTGACCTGGCACTTTATGTTGACATTTGTACACCTGGCCGACGATTCGTATCCTATATCCTTGAATCCTTCTTGATACACAATAGTGGTTCCACGGTGGGGCGTAGGGGAAAGATGGAATCTTTTAAGAAAGAACAAGAACATGCAGTAACATTCGAGCTTTGAACTTGTTATTGCCTGTTGTGCAACGGGTAGTGAGTGAGTAATATAGAAGTTGGCAGACTGGGCCCCGGTAGACTGACTGATTCTTGACAAAAAGGTCATTATAATTATGTAATGACTCATTTTGGTGTAATTGTGACTTGCACACCTGAAGAACTCCCAGTTCTTTCAGTAGCCTGAAAATGGGCAGTTGGGATATATTGTTGTCTGAACGAAGGACGATATGCTTTGGAATTCCTTACCTCGATTTTACTTCATCTACCAAATTGCAAAGAAAAAAAAAAGTAAAAAAGTCACTTGAAAAGGGGGTAAGACAACATCAGAGAATGGACTGATTTGTCAGCAAAAGAGCTCCTCGATATGATCACAGACAGAGGGACATCATGAAGAAAACAATTCAAAATTTTCAGTGATCAGTTTCCCCGAACGACGCTAGTCAAGGCACGAGCGAGGGAGTCAAGTATAAAATACGAAACAAAAGGGAACAAATCAAAAGCTGTTGCGCCGTATCCTACCACCGAGCAAGACTGTCCTTCAAACGTTTGGTATGGCGCCGCAAGGGCTATTACGTCAACGCGCTCGTTGATCTGCGCATGCGTCCCCAGCTTGAGTACAGCCAAAGATAGTACAAGACAAGATGGGCCACTCAGCCAAAAAAGTGTCCGCAGGAAGTATGCTCTTTGCTTCAGATGGCGCTGCAGTCTGTTTTGAAGCTCTCTTTCGTTTTTCCAGAAGAAGAATAGAAATAGCACCTCCTTGCGTGCGCAGATCGACTGCTGTTCATCAGCGGTTCGGGTACGTTCAGTGCGGAGTCTTAGGTTTTTTAAATTTTAATGACCTCTCCCCCTCCATTCTAAAGTCAAATTAAACGAAGAAAACCATCTCCTTTTCCTCCGGAAGAGGTTTTTTGTCAGTGTAATCATTTTTAAAAAGCGTTCTTCCGAAATTTATCCCAAAACTTGCTAGTTTCACTTTGATTTTTAAAAACTCAAGTAGGGTAACTCTGTTCGCAAAGAGTGCGCTTTTGTGAAGAGGGCGCCACCAAATTTTGAGGACACTTTTTTAATTGGCTCAAAGAGAGAAGTGGCCCATCTTGTTATGTACTATCATTGGTACAGCCAGGTCGTTGGCGTAGAGTCCTCGACGCGGAGCGCTGAAATCGTCTTGATAATTGGGATGCTTGGGGAGAAGCAGGGAAATAAAGTATAGCTAATAACCAACTGAGCTAGTGGAGCGCCCAAAAGTGGCGAGAAGAAAAGATGATTACATAATTTATGGTGGTAGATCAGTATTTATCTTACAAGTGAAATCGTAATTGAAGTTGAAACCACTGGAAATGCAATATTAAAACAACCTCAGGTATGGTATAGAATAATTTGACATACGGCGATATATTATTATTATTACTATTATTCTATGTTTGTTTATTTCCAGGGTTTTTTTCTTTATGGCGTGAAAATCTTAGTGGGTGCAGCATGTCATTACGTTTGTGATTACTTACGTTCATGATACCGAATATGGACATGTATTTTTGTTGTTTTAGTAGGGTTTTTACGGCGCTCGCAACTGCATAGGGTCATATGAGCGCCAAGGGCTGGATGTCAACAGAGAAGT